TGCTCATGAGACTCACAGCCACCCTGTAGGGTAGGGCGGGGTAGGGCTGGCCCTGTGGGTGTCACTCTTGACAGGTGTCAGAAGCCTGGCCTTTCTCTCGGAGCAGCTGGTACTTTCTAACTGCTGACAAGGCTGTCAGGCATTTGGAAAGCAACTGCGCAAGGGGGTGGTGGTGACTTTTTTACTGAAACGTAAAGCCTGAGTGGAGAATGACATATCCTGTTCGGTAACTGGTCACAGCCAGTGTCCCCTGCCAAGGGTCTGAGTACCCCCCACTCAACCCAAGGAAGGCCCCTGAGGGGCGTCTCGGAGTGAGGCCAGGGGTACTGTACTTTAATAGCAAGTCCAGAGAGGTCAGCGCTGTCGGGCATGGGGGGCAGGTCTAGCCGGACGTCCATGTCGAGCGTGCGGCTGCGCACCAGGGCACCAAACAGGGAGGTCCGGGTGTCTCTGTCAAACTTGTCACCGAGGTCGCCGTAGAAGAAGCGACCCAAGGTGGTCAGGCCAGTGCCAGGAGCGGCCCCCATGAGCTGGAGGGTGTTCTGAAGCATGTCCTGACAACGACGCTCCTCCCTGACCATCAGGGCCTGGGCGTCCATCTCCAGCCGGCTCAGGTCACAGCAGTCATAGCCACTGTAGGGCACGTTCCTCCCCACATGCCTGTTGTTCAGGAAGTAGTCCCGCTTTCGGGGCAGGACCTGAGGGGGCCCACTCCCAGCCAGCTGAACCAGGAATTCCAGGGCTGAGGACACTTCCAGGAGGGGGCAGTGTGGGGCTGTGAGGAGCTGCTGGACCAGGTCCTCCAGCCGGTTGGCCTCGGGGCCCAGGCTGGCCACGCGCAGGTTGAAGGAGAGCATGAGCACCTTGCTCTGCACAGGGGCTTGGGAGGGGCCCGGCAGCTGCTTCTGGGTCTCTTCTTGGAAGAGACTGGCCAGCAACACGTTGTAGGCCACCTTCTTGAGGCCCTGCTTGGCTTTCCGGCGATCGGAGCCGCGCTGGCCCAGGGGGCCCTTGGCGACCGGCAAGTGGGCCTCGCACAAGTCATCGAAGAGCTGGGTGATGCTGGCCATGGCGGCCCCTCCTCGGCTCTGGGCGTTCGGTGGGCGTGGACACAGCTCGCCCCGCGCCGCGCCCCGGGCTCTGAAACACGAGCGGGAAGGTCAGACCCTGCACGGAGCGGGCTCTGCGACGGGCGCCCGGTGCCGCGGGGGGCGGGTCAGCCGCGTCCCCCCCCCTCCTTCCTAACCTTGCCGGCGCCCGCCAACGGCCCGCGTACGCTCGTGGCACACGGCGTACGTACCCGGCTTTGCCTGCGATCTCGGGGGACCCGCACTTACGCAGGCCCCCCCGAGTGGGCGCAGCAGGCCAGGGAGAGAGGCCGGGAGCCAGGCACTGTAAGGTCTCCGCCTAGGTCTCTCCGGCGGGAAGGGCCAGCGTTCCCGCGCCGCTGCGCGTCACTCGCCCGCGACCGGCGAGACAGCGCCGGCGGAGACGCCGGAAGAGCGTCACCGAGAGGCGGTCCTGTCGGTGGGCGGGGCCCGTGGGCCTTGGCCCCGCCCCGACGCCCGGGGCTGGAGGGGCTGGAGGGGCGTTCCCGCGCTGGGTCCAATAAAGGAGGCGGAGTGGGGCTCTTCAGTTTGTTTACTGATCAGGATGGAGGGCAGGGCACGGCTGGCGGAGGGGCAGTGCGTGCCTGGGGCTAGCCCCGCCGAGCCGGCTTCAAGCTTCCAGGGACGTGGCAGAAGACGGCGGCCTTGGGGAGAGATGCCCAAGGCCAGCGGCCTGCGAGCGTTCCTGCAGCCCTTGGTCCCCTGCGGCGGCCTGCCCGGGCCCCGGCAGCAGCATCCTCCACCGCGGCCACAGCTGCCCCCTCAGGCGCCTCAGGTCCTGCGTGTCCTTCGGAGGGCAAGAGCCCAGGCTGGGGGGCGCCTCTCCGTGCAGTGCCCGAGCAAGGGCCCCTGCAAGCTGGGGTTTTGACTCCTGAGGCGGGCAGGGGTGGAAGCAGAGGGTCACCGTGTGCCGTGGGCATCTGCCCCACAGCCGGTCCCGCCCAGCAAACTGACCTGCATCAGCGCCAGGACTCGACCCCCCGCTGGTCCCCAGAGCATGGAGGCCAGAAAAGCACCCTGGGCGTCTGACAAGCCATGGGACGGTCCTAGAGCCATCAGCACCAGGTCAGGCTTGAAGCTGTAGGCCAGGGGCAGCACCAGGCCCAAGATACAGCTCAAGAGCCCCCCAGTCTCCTGTGGGAGAGACAGCAGCGTGGCACCAGCCCCTCATCCCAAAAGACACCCCACCTCCCAATGCCATGGTCCCAAAGTGTGAGCAGCCACAGTGACAGTGCCTCAGGGGGCTGTGGAGGACCTGCTGCTGCAGTTGGGCACACATAGGGTCCCCCAGGCCTGTGTGGCATGAGGGCGCTACCACTCACCCCTGGCAGTGGCACGGAGATGTGAAACATGGAGTGGGCTGCTGCCTCCTGGCCCCCAATATTCAGCCACAGAATTCTCCTTCCAGAGGAGGGGAAGGCACAGGTGAGACCCTGCCCAGCCTCCAGAGCTGAGGCAGGGTGGGCGCAGCAAGGACATGACATGTGGAAAATCCCTCAGGAGTAGAGGACCTGGCCTGCCATTGTTCCTGGGCCCTCTGCCCAGCTTCATCAGTCCCACTTCTATACCTTATAATGCCCTGCCTCTCCTGGGGACCTGATTGCCACCCACACGAGTAATAGGACAGTAAGTGGCCTAGGAGTTGTACCCGTCATCGGCGAGGTCCGGGGGCTGATCCAGCTGTCCTACGGCCACACACAGCAATCTGGAGGAAGAGCCAGTCAGAGGTAGGTGGGCTCAGCCCCCTGGAATTCAAACTAGAACGGTCCATAGTCCTGCCCCCACACCCACAGTTCTGCCCCATCAGACTCACCTCTGGGCCCCCAGGCACAGGCCCTGCCGCAGGGTCACATCCAGGCTGGCAGCTATGGCTGGGGCAGGCGTGGCTGCAATGCCGCTGCTCACCTGAGGAGCCAATAAAAGCAGGGTCATCAGGTGTCCACCAAGCCCCAAACCACATAAACAGACCCACTGCCTGCCCTGCCCTTTGCTCCTGGTTCTGGTGGCACCTTGAGACCTGAGGCCCAAGTAGCCCCTCTGTACATGAGATGCTAGAACTACATCATCCTCAGGCCCTGCCAAAGAGCGGGAGGCTGTGGGGGAGGCAGAAAGAGACTCACCCTGGTGGTCTGCACCCACCTGTCCCCTCAGGATCTTAGCCACCAGGGTCAGGATTTTCCCCAGTGCTGTAAGGGCCTCGTCCCGGGCCAGGGCCTCATGGGGTCTGTGGTGACAATCCGGAGAGACACACAGGCATGTGGGACACACAGCCATGCCATTACAAGGGTCATATACAGGTATAGCCACCAACCTGGCCCACCCCCATGCCCAGGCCCACCTGGCCCAGGCCTCTGTCTCCTCCTTCAGGGCTGGCCCCTCATGACAGAGAACCGCAGCTGGCAGGGCCAGGGCCTCAGCATCTGTGGCGGTCAGGGCAATGGCCGTGCGGATCAGCGGTGGTGGGCAGTGTTGCAGCTGGTCCAGGAGGGAGCTTAGTGCCACCACCGCTTCAGCTGCTGCCACCTCTGCTGCCACCACATACTCCGGGCTCCCCGGGGCTGGGGGCGGGGGCTGGCCCTCTGGGGAGCAGGACCTAGGTCTTGGCCCTGGGCCAGTGTCTGTGTGTGGTTCAGAGAGCCTCTGCTCAGCCCCATGGGGGGGGTGGGGAGGGGGCTCCAATCTCCTCCGCCCATGCCCTGACCACACTGACCCTGGTGCTGGAAGCTGGTCCAGTAAGGGGCCTGGGCTGCCCGGACACGCTTGATGGATTCCTGGGCACTGCAGGGGACACCGGCAAGCCTGGTTCCCCTCTCTGACTCCTTGTTGCTCTGACCACCCCTGGCTTCCACTCCCCACAGCTCCCAACATGCTCCAGCCCCTCGGACCTCCAGCAGGGTACCATGGTCCCCGACAGTGGTGGGGGAGGGTCGCCCAGCAGCGCCTGCACAGTCATGCACACTGACTCTGCAAGGGACTCCAGGTGGTAGCCACCCTGGGAGGAGAGAGGAGACATGGCTGGGTGGGGGGTGGTACCTGGGAGGGGGCGCTGCCGAGGAGAACTGCCCCCCCACCGTGCTCTACAGTTCCCATCCCAGCGGGATGCTATTCAGTGCCCCCTTCCCACTGGCCTGGATCCTGGACTTTGTAATGCCCCCTGCCTTCCACCCAGGCCATCCACCCCTCTCCCAGCCAAGGTCACCTCCAGCACAGCACAGACACGGCCACCGGCCAGCAGCAGCAGCAACTGCATGAGGTGGGCAAAGCACTCTGGTGTGGCGCTCATCTGCCCCTGGGATGGGAGGGAGCAGGCATGAAGGGCTGGGCCCAGGAGTGCCCAGGGCTCCCCACAGCCAGGCTCTCACCTCAGGGTCCCCGATGGCAGAGTCAAACCCAGCAGAGACCAGCACCAACTCAGGGTCAAACTTGGGCAGGGCCAAGTCCGAGGAAACAGGAGAGAGGCTGGAGCCACAGTGGGGAGTGGTCCGTCCCCTCCAGAGACCACTCCCACACCCACACCCACCCCAGTCAGCACATACTGATGCCAGGGCTTCAAACCCCCAGGCACCCACCCACCCCCAGTCACCTCGAAGGCCAAGGGAAGCAGGATATGCAGGAAGGCAGCCATGTAGTCAGCATTTCCCATCCCCACCTGCGGTCATGGGTCATCACCAGCAACTGCCCACCAAACCACACAATCCTCAACCAGTCCCACTGCCCTCAGGGGCCCAGAGCAAGGGAAACAATAGGACCTGGGGCGGGGAACAGGGTCTGGCCCTAGGCTGGGGGCCTCCAGTATGGAACAGGATTTGGGTCTGGGCCTGGGCTGGGGTCCTGGAGGTGAGGCTGTACCTGGTTCCAGGGCAGGTTGACAGTGAAGCCCCGCCCACAGCCCTGGCCAACCTCATCTGCGTCTCCCTCTCTCAGGTTGGGCCAGAAGCGCCCATCCTCATAGCGGTGCCAGGAGAAGTAGAGGACACTGTGAACAGTTGGCTGGGGTCAGAGACCAGAGCTTGGGCACTCCAGACTCCATGCCAGCAGACCCTGAAAACAGGGGTGTGTCCCCTGGATTTCCCAGGCCAGGCCGTGCCTGGCCTCCAGCTCACCTAGGGTCTCCCTCAAAGGTGTACTGGATGCCCTGGCCGTGGTGGACATCCCAGTCAACGATGAGGATCCTGGGGACATGGTGGGGTCACCTCGGGTCTCCTCAGCCAGGTCAGTTTCCTCCCTGACACCACCCCCTCACCTGTGCACACCTGTGCAGCCCATGTCTTTGCTTGGCGTGCTCCGCTGCTATCGCCACGTTGTTGAACACACAGAACCCGTTGGCTGCTGCCCGCTGGCTGTGGTGGCCAGGAGGCCTGAGGTTAAGGGGACACTTGGGTCACACCCAGGTCCTTACAGGTGGGCAACCAAGGTGGGGAGCAGGTAGCAGCCCTTACCTCACAAGAGCGAGTCCGTTACTCGTGGCCCCTGTCAGCACGGAGTCCACCAACTGCAGCGCAGCGCCCACAGCCAGCCGGGCACAGTGAAAGGTGCTCTGTGGGAGGGGGTGCCAGCTGAGCCCCAGTTCACCCTCGTGACAAGCCTGTGCTGTGCAGGGCGCTGCGTAGGGGCCTGGGAAGGGGGCGGGAGGGGCACACACCGGGTGGAAGTAGACTGCGTCGTACATTCCCGACAGCGCCTGGAGCCCCTCTGTGTTCATGGTCTGGGTCCCCCGCACCACAGCCACGTACTCTGGGCTGCCAACGGATGGCAGGCATGTCAGGGTCGCTGGAGTAGCCGTGGCAGAGAGGGGCAGGCGAGTGGGGGGAGGGGGACTCTAGGTGCCCTAGGCCACACCCCTCCACTGTCCCGCCCCTCCCCCAGTTTCTGTGGGTGAGCCATGGGAGAGGGGCGCGGCAATGCCTCGGACGCATCAGCGACTCTCCGGTGGGCTGCACGTGGCGCGCCCGGAGTCTGACCTGTGCACCAGGCCCAGCTCGGCCTCCGAGGCCTCG